GCCCAGGGGGTGGTGATGCTCCAGGGGGAGGTGACGGTCCGGGGCGGGAGGTGACGGTCCGGGGGGAGGTAATGGTCCGGGAGGGGAGGCGATGGTCCAGGGGGCAGTGATACTCCAGGGGGAGGTGATGGTCCAGGGGGAGGTGACGGTCCACGGGGAGGTGACGGTGCAGGGGGAGGTGATAGTCCAGGGGGAGGTAATGGTCCAGGAGGGGAGGTGATAGTCCAGGAGGGGGAGGTAATGGTCCAGGGGGCAGTGATGCTCCAGGGGGAGGTGACGGTCCAGGGGGAGGGTGACGGCCCCAGGGGCAGCACAGACAAAACACCTGGTGCGCCCCCTAGCCTTGCTCACCACTTCTTTCAGCCCCGAGTGCACCTGGCCTGTGCTGCCAGCGCTGTGGGAGCCCGCATTCCCCCTGCTGTCCCTTACACAAGTGTCCTTTTCTCTCAAGGCTGTCCTTTGATGTCAGGTCACTGCCCAGCTCAAAACTCTCGGATGTCGCTTGCTGCTTTTAAATCCGTGAAGCCTGACCTCCCCGCCCCGGCACCGAGCCCCCCAGGACCCAGTGTCCACCTGCGCTTCTGGGACCGTCACTCACCTGGCCCCCCAACGTGAGTCAGCTGCTGCCTCACAAGTGTGCCCAGCGCTCCGTGGCTCTGCTCCCTGAGCACACCCCCTCATCTGCGCCTCCAGGAAAACGGCCTCTCCACCCTTCCCGCCCCACCCTCCTCCCCACAGGCCTGCAAGCTTCTCCAGTGACTCACGTGCTGGCCTCAGATCTGCAGCCAACGTCCTCAAGCTTCAAATTCAAGTCTCCGGAGCCCAAGGACACGCCCCCGGAGTCCGTCCCTGCCTCGGTCAGAAAAGTCCTGCTGCGGCAAACGGCACGTGCTCAGACTTGCTTTATAATGAGTCCGTGAAGGTTCGTTACATGTTTTACCGTACACGACACTACTGCCATTTCCCCCGTGTATTTTCTACCATCTCCCTATTTTATTACTTTAAATTATTCACTATTTTATTTTTACTATTTTCCTGCTTATGTACAACTTTTAAGGTGCCTGCAGTCAAAGAAATAAACAAAAGCCGCCAG